ATTATTGACAAGAAGATCATCCACGTGTGATAAAGACATTGGGGCCTGTATCACTAGGCACTGTTATAACGATGACAGCTCTTAGCGAAGACTTGCTTGTAACTGTGAACAAGCTTCAAGATCTTGTCTTTAATACGATCGGAAATGACTCCCTTGACTTGCCGCAGATTGTAAGTTCCTCCAATATTCACCAGGCAAGGGCCCGCCAACGCTATGGTGCTAATAATCTGTGCAGGTTGTTGTGGGTTCTCAGTCATCTGGCAAATCGTCGGTACTCGAGAACATTGTTGGCAGAGACTTCTTACCACGAGGAAGCGGTATAGTCACGAGGCGCCCGTTGATCCTCCAACTCATAAATATTCCCAGCGAACGCCACGACAAGCCCGAAAGCGATGAGGTTCATATACCCCATACAGCAGCAAGTGTGGCGGGACAGTATGAGTGGGCAGAATTTCACCATCTTCCTGGCCGCAAATTCGATGACTTTGCCTTGGTTAAGCAAGAAATTGAAGCGGAGACCGCAAGGATAGCTGGAAGCAACAAAGGAATTAACAGACAGCCCATCAACCTCAAGATATTTTCACCGCACGTACTCAATCTTACCATGGTTGACTTGCCGGGGTTGACGAAAGTGCCTATCGGGGACCAACCGTCCGACATTGAAAAGCAAACACGGGCTCTAATACTTGAATACATTGCGAAGCCGAACAGTATCATCTTAGCTGTTTCGCCTGCTAATGTTGATCTTGTGAACTCTGAAGCTTTGAAGCTTGCTCGTCAAGTAGACGCCATGGGTCGACGGACAATTGGAGTTTTGACGAAACTGGACCTCATGGATCATGGCACGAACGCCATGGACATTCTCTCTGGACGGGTCTATCCTTTGAAGCTCGGATTCATTGGAGTTGTTAATCGATCACAACAAGACATTCAAGCTGGGAAGTCACTGTCTGACGCATTGCACGCCGAAGTCGATTTCTTCCGACATCATCCAGCCTATAGGAATATGGCGAACCGCTGCGGTACGCAGTTTCTTGCGAAAACCCTGAATACCACCTTAATGTCCCATATCCGGGATCGGCTGCCCGACATCAAAGCGCGTCTTAACACCCTAATGGGTCAAACTCAGCAAGAACTGGCAAGCTACGGCAATAAACAGTTCAGCGGAAAGGAACATCGTGGTTCCCTTATTCTACAGCTTATGACGCGCTTCGCTTCGTCTTTCATATCTTCCATTGATGGAACGTCCTCCGAAATATCAACCAAGGAACTCTGTGGAGGGGCGAGGATATATTATATCTTCAACTCCGTTTTCGGCAACTCTCTCGAAACAATCGATCCTACCCACAATTTAACTGTTACTGATATTAGAACTGCTATCCGGAACTCGACTGGTCCACGTCCGAGCCTATTTGTTCCGGAGCTCGCTTTTGACCTGCTTGTCAAACCTCAAATAAAAATGCTAGAAGCTCCTAGCCAAAGGTGTGTTGAATTGGTCTATGAGGAGCTCATAAAGATTTGTCACACGTGCGGCTCTCAGGAGTTGCTTCGCTTTCCACGGCTTCAAGCGAAACTGATAGAGGTGGTGTCTGACCTTCTTCGTGAGCGTTTGGGACCGTGCTCAGCATATGTTGAATCGCTCATTTCCATACAGAGGGCGTATATCAATACAAACCATCCTAACTTCCTCGGTGCAGCAGCGGCTATGTCGTCTGTCATGCAGAACAGGCAAGAACAGGAGAGACGGGCAGCGCTAGCAGATGACCGGAAAAAGCGCGAGAAGAGACGATTGAAAGAACTTGGAGCGGTGAATGGGAACCCGCCAGCATCCCCTGAGGATGAGGACGAACAGCATGCAGATTCTAAGACGCAGAATATTCCCATCAGGAGTCAACCCCCGAGAAATACCAGAAGCATGTCCCCTCATTTTGGCAAAGGACAAGAAGGTGGCGTGACCGCAACCTTGAATGGAGCTCATGCAAATTATCAAACGGCTTTTGGGACAGCCAATACAACTCGTGATTCGTTCCTTAACTACTTCTTCGGTAAGGACGGCGCGCAACCTACCAGCTCATTGCCTCAGCTGTCGGGTCAGACCCGTCCATACAACAATGTCAATGAAGCGAGCATAAGTCACAGCACTCGCCGGACTGATATACGTTCCCCTATTATGTCAGCTGATGAGTTCCCACCTCCTATGGAATTTACCGGTGATGTCGGAGCTGCCGTAAGATTATCGTACCCTATATTGAACGAAAGACATGTGCTGATCATCATTGTAGCCGAAGGACGACCCCGAAGCTGTCCTCTCCGACCGTGAACTGTTAGAGACCGAGCTGATTAGTCGACTCATATCTTCTTACTTCAACATTGTCCGAGAAACCATCGCAGATCAAGTTCCTAAGGCTATCATGCATCTCCTTGTCAACCACAGCAAGGATGTTGTGCAAAATAGACTCGTGAGCGAACTTTATAAGGAAGATTTATTTGCAGAGCTACTCTACGAGGATGATGGCATTAAGGCGGAGAGGGAGAAGTGCGAGAGATTGCTGGATACCTACAAGGAGGCAGCGAAGATTGTCGGAGAGGTTCTGTAACATTATCGGTGAAAGAACAAACTGGGGAGTATCAGCTTGCGCTATCAGCCAAGACAATGTCCAGCTTCTGGCCTTTTGAAATCCCGGGGTTCGAGTGATGTTGCAAATTTTTTGTATTTATAGTCTGACATATTATCATCACCTGCGGTAATCCACAGTTACATCATGCGGAACATTAGAGAAGCAGTTGTGGCGAGTAGCCAATCAAAGGAAACTAGGTGCTGTCTATTAATGAGCTAATAGATGTCAGGTTTACGCGGTAATATGCATTCCAATGTATATATATGCACATGTCTATTTTTTATGTCTGGAAGACCTTCCCGGACGTAAAAATGACGTGGAAGATAATCCTAGCGAAACATGACTGCTTTAATCGTTTTTAGCAGGTTTCACCTTGGGGCGCGTACCCTCAATGCCATATAACGCGCCGCCTATGAAAACAAACAATGCGCCCATAAGCACACCTGGAGAAAGGGCATTCCCGAACAGATAGATGGAGAGGAGAAGAGAAACAAGCTTCCGAACATTAAGAACAACGGTGACAGTTAAAGAGGATGACTTTGCGGAGAGGCGATGGACTCCTCGTATGCACAAGTACTGCGTCAGCGCATTAATCAGAAGGTAGACTACACGTGTTGGGACACACGTGGATATTGAGTGCAATTGGAAAATATCCTTCAGAATCGGAATCTGCCCTGATATACCGGCGGGCATTGACGCAAAACGCCATCCCTCGCACGACTCTTCCGAGGAACTGATGCCTTCAAGAGCGGCAGATGATACATGGCTCGGAGTACCCGTTCCAGTCATGCCCAAAATCTCAGGCCCAGAAGTTAGGGAAGATGTCGAGAAAAGCATTCGCCACTGGCTCACAAGTTGTGCATAAGCAGGTAAAAACAGCGGTAGTGATAGGGTGTGAGAGTAGAACAGAGCTTCTTTCCAGTGGTCTCGGCCGTACTTTGCGTAGAGCCTGTCCGCATATATCCCCTGGAAAGCCGAGAGTATCATAGCTAGAGCAAGGATGGTGAACCCAACCAATGTCGTGGTTGCAGAAGTGCTCTCAACATTCATAGATTGGCCTTTGGCCTTGGCATCTGCTAAAGCAGCGGTGACAACACCCAAAGTAAGCATTAGAACCGCGAGTATTTGCCCTCGCGAATATCTCTTTGCATTGAACAAGTAGCCGATGATCATAGACGCTACTGGGCCCCCAGATCTTAAGATAATGTGCAACGGAACTGAGATCCTATAGGCAAAGGCCCAGTTGTTGAGAAGATTGACTGTAACGAAAAACGCTGTGTAGACTAGCCATGATCTTAGTGGAATGGCACGCGGGCTAAGATATAGTGAATGAGGTCCCGCTGACACAGAGAGAAAGCCAGGAACCGTCAAGACTGCAGTCAGAAGGAATTGAGCAAACGTTATCAGAGGACCTTGAGCGAAGACGTTAGAAAAAACCTGGGATGGGAATGGATGGTTGATGGAGACTAAATACCAGAGCTTGGCTGGTCTCTGGACAAAAGTCAGTGTCGCTCAAAACCCCACGAATTGCGGAAGGTACTTACTTGATGATTGCTTCGAGTGCAAAAACCTACCATCTGGCGTCAGTAGCGGAACGTAGCCATACCCTGGGCACATACTCACATTGGCGCAACAGCCACCAAAGATCAAGGAGAACATCAAGATTATATTTGTCCATTGAGGCAGTACAGTATGAGTGGTAGCACTTATTACACTTGTTAAGTGCCCAGAAGTGGCACCTGTAGGGCCCATAACCTCATTATTCCTTTTTGCCTGCTTCGGGACCATTTCAGAATCCACATTGTTTATCCCATTACCTGAAGTTAAAGTAGTTTCAAGCTTGTAGTCAGCACCCGGTTTACTCTCGGTCTGTGTCGAAACGGGGTTACGGTTATGAACCGTATCCTTTCGAGCGGACATTTGCTGGCCGTGTTCGGTAGCAGACAAGAGAACAGTTTTGAGGCCAGAAATGAGACAAGGATAAGGCAGAATTGGAACGAGAGTGACGTGAGACTGGGCTCTGGTCGAGATGTGATTATGTTATACGTGTTCTCAGGTTACCTAAAACCTGTAGGTATTACTTTACTGTAAGTGGTATAGCGTGCATATTTCGGAGAAAGTGACCGCTAACATTCTAGATGCTGCCGACCGACCAGGCATGCTGCTATCCGCCACTAGCAGTCAATCAATCAAGCAATAACCATCTACTATGATCTACAGGACGTTCCGTTCCTGTTTCTCCTCTCATGGGAGCAAGCATCCCAGAAAATCAGTCCCCTACACTACCATTGGCTTCATACGACTAGGCTATTGGGTCGTTAGAATTTCATTATCGCAAAAGAATATATTGGAAGTCTATGTCCAAATTAACATATGATAATATCAGTAGTCATCTATAATATCATCATCAGCCAAAAACAGCTTCTCCTCTTCCAAAGACGGCGGCAACCGGGGCCCAAAAGCATTGCTGTGGTATCGACGACTGATTTGGGGCGGGCTTCCTGTAGGAGGACCCTTCCACTGAGCCGTAGATGTGACTGCAGGTAATTCAACAGTGTTGTCAAGCAAATCAAAGTCATTAGCATTACTTTGATTCTCAGTCCCGCTGAGGTTGACAAGCTTATGGAGTCCTTGGGATGGCTCCATGTCGCCAGCTATTAGAGCCAGATACGGCAGTTGGTGAAGGATGAGATCACTGCGTGACATCATGGTAACAGCTACAGTTGGTTTACTGCGGCTGTCACTTGTGCTAGTGGCCTCCTCAGGTTTAAAGCTCGAGTTTGATGGGTCCAATAGTTTAGTAGACCATACATCTATGAGATCTTGTATCTCTTCCATATCTCGAAGCAACCGCAACGAAGCCGGGAAAAGCATTTTGTTTGCGCTTCTTGTATTGCTCGAGCCGTTATTGGACCATGTAGATCTCTTCACAGGGCTTGGAAGAGCGAACAATATACCTCGAGTAGCAACCTGATAACTGAGGTCTTCCTGGCGCAATGAGTCTGACCCGGAGTTGTATCTACTAACACCAGCCAATCCGAGCCTGCTTCGTCCCCTTGTGTCGAAAGACAGCATATCACTGTCGGATAATGCACCTATGCAACCATCCAGGTAGTCTGTAAAAGATAAACCATTGCATGACGGAACATAATTCTCGTGAAGAGCGCAGATAAAGGTTTGATTGTCAGTTCCGGCTTCATCCACAAGTTCGTTGACACACACTTGGGATAATTGTGGCCGCTTATGGTGGCTTAAGTAGTCTGGGGGCAACACAACTTGGGCGCCTTCAGTTGAACCGGTATCGACACGTTTGTTATACATAACCTTGCCAATTGCGTGAAATAGCCCAAGACTCGCTTCTCTCTGTGTAACTAAATCCAATGTCTCCCTTTCAACGGCCGTAAGAGGCATGCTAGATCCTTTCGAATTCTTGGTTTTGGGGGGTGGGGACTTCTTGAACCCTCCAGAATTCATGCAAAGAAATTCCAAGGACGAGATTGCACTTCGAATGTCCCCGATAGTAGAGATATTATGGAGTATGGCAGGGCCCGGAAATCTCTCACGTTTGGAAAGCCGAGCCTCCTTTTCTAAAACGAGATGCAAAGCCTTGTACATAAAAGTCGGGGCTATGCTATTAAAATCAAGGATGTTCGTTTTTGGGTGAGTGTAGAGTACTGGTCCTAGCAACCGATGGACTGTCAGGCTATCTGAAGGAAAAGATCGTGAGTTAAGAAGTGTCTCTGACACGATCAAGACAATCGGGGAGTTTCGTTGCACATCAGTTTCATAATCAATGTTCTGTTGTGATGTTCTGTCAAGATACCGCAGAAGAGCTAGTCTGAACGGTGTTAGGCCAGACGCAGAACCTGTAAGTGTTGGAAACTCCTCTATGAGAATTATGCGCTGTCGCGAAGCATCCGCATTATTGCCATTGTCTCCAGGTCCGGGTGAGCTAGTCACCTCATCTAGGTCGAGTCCTTTAAACTCGTTCCCACGTTCCAGGAACTCCTCAAAACGGGAAGCAATTGATACATGTGCTTTGGTGGCAGACTCTGATGAAGAAGGGTTTTTCCATTCGAGAATGTCGAAATTCAACACAGCTGATAGCAATGAAACTGTAGCCGTCTTACCGCTTCCTGCAGGACCTCGAAGGACAAGTAGCTTGTCTTTTGTTAGAAGGGAGTCAATGTAGCGAAGCATAGTGCTAGACAATTCTTCCTTGAACTGATAAAGAAAAAAGCACGAATGGAAAGGACAAAGAACAAAGTGAGAGGAGAGAAAGGCCAGTAGCTTACCTGTCGCTGCCTTCTGGCAAATGCATTGATTAACCAGTTTTTCACATCAGAAACCTTCTTGTGGTGAACCGCCAATTCTTCTATACTGGATGGAGCAAACTGCTGCGCCCATGGCAAGGTTCTATGAGCGGGTTGTAAAGAACTCGATCTAGATTTAGGCTGCTCGGTGGAAATGAGAAACCGATTGGCCATTCCAGCAGATCGTTGTCTAGGTTTGGAAGTTTTATTTGAATCATTTTGGTCCGAGGGAGTTGTCCAACCGTCCGCCAGAGTATCAGTATCGAAGGTGATGTGGCGCGTGAATATCTCATCAAACGAATCATAATCATCTTCAATTATATCGTTGCTGCTTTCTTTCCCATCTGTAGATCCTAGATCTTGCCTATCACCAATTTCTCGCGTAGGCAATTGCTGTTTGGGGTTTGCGGGGCCATAGAAGCTATGTAGGGAATTATTCGTCGTTGCAGCATCCAACGAATGCTTGCGTTTCATTTTTCTTGTTTATTCGCGGTCTGCAAGGTAAATAGTCCGGAGCCAATAATGAGACTGGGAACTGGCTGTGATGCACCGTACAATCGAGAAGGGTAGGTAAGCAACACTTTAATCTGAATCCTGGGCCTCCCGATTGAACGAAAGTCTAGCTAATTTCGCTGACTTTTCGCGATGGGACAAGCAATTCATGACCATTTGATATGATGGATGCGAGAAAGCTGATAAGTCACTAAGCAAGATCCAATTATGACATTTATATGTCTGGCTAGAGGCTGATATAGAAGTATGAACAAGGAAGCTGTATGATATAGGTGGAATATCGCAATGCGGAATCGAAGTCCTGCTACTCGTTACCGCCTACACAGAGCTTAGGTACTGCACTTTCTGCGCGCACGAGCCTCTCGCCCGCCGCATTAGCCTTTATCTGGTATGACTTGGTGGGCCAGTGTCTGGACGCGGACGCGTCTGTGTCCCTTTGTAGTCTGGCATGTGCTTATTTAGCGCCACAGATTAGAGAAGTTAACCCAAACTAGATGACCATTGCACTGTATGACTTCCCCCGCTCATGGCCACATTGAGCCCGGCGGAATTTTTGAGCGGGGCTTATATGTCGCTGTTCTTGCAGTAACTCAGTTGCAGGTATTAGAGATTAAACTGAGAATTACACAAGACAATCGCAATGGACGATGGGAAAAAGCTCATGGACAAAGGGAGAAAAGAAAGAAAAAAAAAATACCACATATTCCCTATCTACAGAGCATATTAGTTCGAGTATATAAGATGCAGTGTTCTAGCAGCTGATTTCGCCGAAGAGTACTCGTAAACATTCCAACCGAGTCGGTAGCCCCTGTACATCCACATTATCGTCACTCAAGACACCCTCCACATGGATGGAGATGTCTCGCAAGTATTTGTTATGTTATAACAGTGCCAGTGTCAAAAAGGAGCTCGCTATTATGAGCCACCAAAGACGTCATAGTAGTAATTGTCATCAAGGCCATCTCGCGTGGGAACTTGGGGCGCTTCACCCGCAAAGGCCACATCGTCAAAGCGGACATTCAACAAACGGATCTTGAGCCCGTAATCGCTGACCAAACTTATAAGCTTGTTTGTCTCTGCAGTTATAGGCTGCTGGTTGAGAAGCATGAGTAAACCATCAAGCCATTCAGATGCGACACTGGTTGATTGTGGACAGAAACTCAAAAGCGCAGATTCACCTTGCACTGATCTGCTCGAGGTTCGACGATGTCCATTACTTTTCTGGATGTCCCCAGTCCCGTGTACAGGCTGCGAGTAGCCGTGCACGGTAATCTTAGTATAAGATACAGCATGAGACATGTCCTTTGCAGGCTCCGCTGACTGATCGTTGGATGAAGCAGAGACATTAGAGACCACTGAAGATACCGATGAGAGGTCGACTGAAGTAGTAAAGCGCAGTCAGTCTTTGAATCCAGAATAGAACAGACCACGCATCGACATCAACGAAGCAAACTTACTCTTCTCGGGTAAAGTGTCGAGCTCTGGACACCTCTCAAGAATGGAATTGAAATCACCAAAGTGTAAGAACCTCCTGTTGTGCGAAAGTTGAGCATATTTCCACGAGCGTTGCTCGGTTCCCACATCTGAGCTATCAGAGCCCTCGTTGAGGAACCATGCGCCGTGCAACAGACAGCGGATTCTCTGTTCTTTAACAAATTGAAGTGCTTCGTGATACAATTCTTCGCGCATCTGCTGCAGGTGTTGGCCCCAGGCATCTTCATACGTGAGCCCCAGCAACTCCATTTGCAATTCGCGGAGCCGACCATACTCGAAGTTGGTCAACTCTTCTTCCACTTCTTGCACATCCTTTGTCCGAGGTGCACCACCAACAACGGACTCGATCAGAATTCGGACAAGCTCAACGATCTTTCCGTAGTCTTCGACTTCCGCTCCGGTAGCCTTCCATAGACGAAAGAAAGCATGTAATCCTGCTACATGCAATCTGGTCCAATGCAACAGCAGAGGCTCGAACAACTTGTCAAGGTTAGAGCGAGATTCAAGTAGAAGATAGCCCTTGGAATCGTCCATCTCCGATTTGTCCACCTCAAAATGCTGGTATAAGATCGAAGTGACTGACAGTGAGGCTCGGGCAATGGGACATCGCTGCTGAGGAGGCTTCGTGGACTGCTCCAGGAGCATTTTTTGGAACTCATCTTGATGATTCCTGACATAGTCTGCCAAATCCATCATACCCAAGAACCCGGTATCCTCAAACTGCATCGAAGGACTCTCCGTCTCGAAACCAAGACGCCTCCACTTCTCAGAACTGTGTTTCTTAGACTGTTTTATCTCATCACCATTCTCGATGCCCTTTTCTTGGCTCCGCTCATGTGAGCTAGCCAAATAGATCCCTTTCAAGGCTCTCCTGTGCTCTGGTCTCTCCAGATCCAAGGATATCTCTCTCCATTTCCTCAGAAGAACTTTGGTAAGAGACTGAAATTCGATTAATGGGTGCACGTGATCCTGCAGTGCAGTACCTTGCATGAGGGAGTAGACTGCTCTAATCACACCGAGATCTTGCAGCTTCTGAATAAACTTTGGCCACTCCGTATCTGCCTCATTCGTGATAGAGTCGCGCATGAGCGAATTAATCAACTGAAGTGCATTTGCGCAAAGGGCATGGTCTGCAGACGAAAGTCTATTGACAAGCATTTCCAGGAACTGCGGATAAATGGCAATTGCGGGCTTCAATGCACGAAAGCCAAAGTTTCCATCTTGTGATAAGTGATTACCTGAGTAAGGATGTGACACTATGGAAACTAATATAGACATTGCACCCCTTAGGATGTTAACCAATGGGTGAGTCACTATGAGTTCAACAACCTGGAAAGAAAAGACGGTACGATATATCAGTATGTTACTATATAAGGTGGTTTGCGGGAGTATGTTTTAAAAAAGACGGAGAGCTTGTTCATGTTACCTACTCTTTCAACCATGTCTTGGTCTACTAGATCCCAGCCTTTGTCAACTTCTAGTATTCTGGCGAAGCTTGTCAGGCTATATGCCAAGGTGTTACCACTTGCATGCAGAGTCAAGTAGCGTAACCTAGTGAGTCCACCTTCTGCGATGAAATTATCGGCAAACGAGGGATCTCCAATGCTCCCCTGGAGTTTAAAAACTGCCATTTTGCGCACCGCATCTTCGTCACTTCCTAGCCTCTCAACCAACTCAGAGATGCTGGTTTCCATGATGGGAAGTAGTAGTAATGTGGCCCCTCCGGTCGCAATAGAGCACGGGCAATTGTCAAAGCGAGGGTATGCCAATCAGTAGCCGTACCCGTTCTCTGACCAATTTTCATACAAGCTGTAGATTCCGAGTAGCATGGCCCTGTAAGGACTTCAGGGAACGAGGCTCAAGGGAATCAGCACCTTCTACCGGTTGCAAAGAGAATAAGGGAGGGTGGGTTGCCAAGAGATCCAATAACGGAACTCCGCACTTGGAACTAGATCGAAACCGGGCAAGTTCGACCCATTAATGGACTCCAGGGTACGTAGCTGACCTGCGATATAATTTAAACTTGACTACTTGTGTATCTGCGTATCGGGAGCCAGGGGCCGGGAGTGAAGGCCTAATTGCTGTCGTCTACTCCGTCAAGTGAATTGGGTGCCGACCAAGGAGCTTTGGCGAAATGATCATTATTACATGACCTTGTATTTAGCTGTAACATGCAATCAGGGGACATAATGCGTCACATATTCGAGCGGATGTCTAAAAGGAGCCCGAAAATAACCTTGGCATCTCCTTGCCATCCCACGCCGATAATTGAGTACGCTGGTTTCCCAGTCATCATGGAGGGGTTGGTCATCGGGAAATGTCGGCTATTTGACAGGAGGAACATTCAAACTATTTGATAGATTCATTGGTTCATTTATACGTGAGGGGCCTGAAATTACAACGATGTTCAACACTTACAAATTGGTGTTTCATGCAGGATGATATGGCAGGCTAAGATCTGCAGGGGTAACAACCTAAGCATTGGGCAACTGGACTGTGTATAGACCAGTCAGCTAGATTGGACTGGGTCTATTCTACGGAGTACGCTCTAACTCGTAATTACGCTTCATTGTATATCTTTCAGGCGTTCCCGCCTAGACATCTAGAGCTTTGAAAGACACTCGACTTGATATAGAGTAAATTAAGTAGATAGATACTTTTGCTTCCATCTGTTGGAATACATAGGTCTACTACTATATACAGGCGGAGAGTAAGGAGACTTTCAGTGCCATCATAGTTTCGATGCGAGCGAGCACTTATATATAATATAATAAAGTAGAAGGGAACTAACTCTACATCTTGATGTAGAGTTCATAAAAGAAGTCGAAAAAAAAAGACGTCCCGGGAGAGGATCGAACTCTCAACCTCACGATTAACAGTCGTACGCGCTAACCTTTTCAAGGTGTTAGTAATTTACTCCATCGGAGTGAAAATTGTCTGGGATCACGCTTACCAATTGCGCCACCGAGACCGGCTATACACAGCATGTCCCAAATAATGTTAAATATTCTAGTTGGGCAAATGTAAGCACGATTCGTGCTCGGCATTTGGCCGTTCCGCCATGTCATATGGACGTAGTAGTATTGCTATATCACTAGTGATCTGTCGCTTGGCTAGATATACTCATCTGTATCGCAGGGCTACTTTCTTAGGCAAAAAAGCATTGCGCAGGACACCCTTCTAGTACATAATTGTTGCATGATGAGGTTTTCATGTTACAGCAATCACTTCTCAGTCGCCGTAGGCTAGTGTGCAGCACCTTTTGGAGTACAATTAGGACGTATGAGTAAGATTGGTCTTGCTACAAATAGAATTTGAAAACTAATTATATTTTAGTAGCAGCAATTTCTAGTCCCGCTCTAGGCCACCCTTACTGGCTTCGATCCATTGTTACTCACAAGGCTGTTTATTCAAGTGGGGAATAGCAACAATTGCCACGCACCTCGATCCTTCAGAACCACATGGAATGTTTCACCAGATTTAAGTGAGATAAACTATCAAGCGTCCTTGCTATTTCATTCATCGAAGGCCACCCTCGCCCTTTACCTTGTGGTGGCTGCTTTTTCTCGTGCATCATAACAGCTTGCATGCATTGATGTTTTATTCTTAATGTTGTGACCACTTTCCTTTCCTGCTTCATGACATTCTATCTTCCTCCGCCGACAAATAAGTTCGAATATTGTACAGCGACGACAGTTTATGATCCCATGCCACACCTCCCAATCGTTCAATGCGATGCCTCTATCACGGCCCAAAACATAAGAAAGCGAAAAAGAGAAACAGCTTTGGCAGATATTCCTCCAGCTCTATCAAACAGGTTTGTAATCTAGCCAATGAAGCGGCCAGTATCGCTGAATGCAACCAGAGGAAGTGGCTAACTCATATCATTGATTAATTAGGCTTGCCTCATCGGCCCTTCATGATACGAGCCCGCAATTCTGCTTAGACAATACAGCATGCTTAGGCGACAGCGCTGGGGTCTTCACGCGCCAGCGATGTCTCCACAGGAAACGACGAGTCTTCCAGCAGCCACCTGCTTACCATAAGCCACCGTTTACAGATGGTATCTCTCACATGCTACAGTCTGATTCGTCGCAAGACATTTGCATTTCTGGCACCAGCTCCCCGCCGGTGTCTCCTAAAACAATTCCGCCGACCCCATATCAGCAACCGCAAACACTATTCGCATCTGCGTCCTGTCTCCGCCCATGTCATATCTGCCATCGGAGACCGACCACTCGAGAGTATGTTGACGCCTATGCAGACTGTGATCTTTGTGGTGGGAGAAGCTGCTACATTTGTTTACGACATTGTGACTCTGTAGACTGCAGTGGGTTACTCAAGACCCCTACAAGCGGCTGTCAGGAAAGGCCGGACGATGACGAATGGCAGACAGATCGGGCACGAAAAGTTTGCTCTGCCTGTGCGGTCGAAGGTGTCACCGAATCGGGAAAAGAAGTAATAAGATGCCTTGAATGTGTACGAGGCCTCCAATCCCAATGGCAAGCTCTTCATCTAGACTAGGAGAGCTTCATGCGGCCTTGGGACAGACCCTGCATGGATAACGTGAGACAGTGGTCTGATATCCGTTGGCGGACTTTTTGAGGTTTTTCTCGAAAGACACTCTGTCCGAACCACTAATGTGTAATTATAGAAGAGAGAAATTTTGATACCCAACTTAGCAGACTAAGTAATAATGACTTATATCATGAGGCATCCCCATACTTCCTAGTACTTACAATGGCAATGTTTGATGGGGCAGATGTACACCGACGAAGCACACCAAAAGACAGGTTGCATGTCCTCTAGCCAACGCTGCACCTCATAGGGACACTACTAGTGATTGCCATGTCTATTCAATTCTCACACCCCACGAATCTTATTCCCGGGGACGTATAATACAATTGTTCATTATAGGTATACTGAGGCTGGTGCCTGCTTGCTTTCTTTCAATTAATAGATCATGGAAAAGACTCCAGTATATAATAGGGGTCGCTGTGGACAGTCACAAGTAAGATAATTGCCATTAACGGCCGAACCTCATCTGAGCGCCGGCGTAGTGCCAGAGGCCCCTGAGGAACCCGTGGTACTCAACAGCCTCATCAGAATTCGTTATCCCACTGTTCCTACCGCCAGTGCAGTACATTTCGGTGAGGCGAATATGCCAAGGCGGATATCCATCCAACTTCAAGAACGGGCCAAAAACAAGGAGAAGATCGGGCTCAGGCTTCACTAGGGAGGCATTACGGCTGAGGCCCATTCTTGTGCTGCCTTGATTGACAGGTGCTGCCGGTTGGGTTGGCTGAGTGGTAATCTCACTAATCTCTGCATCGACCAATTCCATAGTGATGTCCTCTGGAGACAATTTACCACTTTGGGACATCTCCGCCAGGGTCTTGGTCAAGTCAACAAACGTCTCCCTGCCATCAGTCGCAGACAGGAGAAGTACTGTGAGAGAACTGACATTGTGTCTGTCAGACGGCGGAACATCTTCCTGTGTATTATAGATAGGGTGGTGGGGAGCAAACAGCCGCAGTGTAGGTTGCTGCGCCGGAGACCCATAGTAGGATGACAACTTGCTCGTGATAGCTTGGTGAAGGACGGGGATGCAGGACTTCAAGATACCTATATAGACGCACAAGTTGTTAGCCCCAACCTTGCCTTCCTCTTTTTTGCTTTCTTATCGTATACGTAGAGGTCTTAGGGGCCTGAAGGCATCACTTACCGGTCTTCTCATAGACACTAAGGACAGGTATCCCAGAACTCACGCTCCAGGCTGAAAGTTCCGCCACTTCATCCATCAGAATTGCCAGGGCATCGTCTTCTTTGCGTAGTGATAAGATGACGCTCAGGTGTTCGGGTAAGCGCTTCAAGCCTTTCACGTCCTTTCGTATTAACTCTGGTGTTCGGTGGTGGTAATAGACGATGGCGAAGATTCGATCCACAACAGCATGGTAGCTCAGAATGAGACGAGAAAAAATTCCAAAGATGATGTGAACAACGGTGTATGTGAGTAGATGCAGCTGCGACTTGAAAAACGTCCGTATTGGTGTCTTTCGAGGAACCTTCTTGCGCCGCTGTGGTCTGCGTGGAAGATCAGACGGGTCTGGCAGATAGGGCCTTAACAAATTCTCGCGCTCAGCAGCATTGAGCTTCGTTCCTCGAGAGCGAATATCATCCCTAAACAGTTCTCTATCACGCTGCGTAACCATGTCTTAATATCTGTGAGCGCTAGCGCAGGGTTACTCTCAGATGTTTAAATATGGTTGAGGAGATGTAATTCGAATGGGTATTAGAAAGTAGTCCGGGAGTGCAAGCGGCGGTGGCAGTAGTAGTGGTGGGTCCTAAGGACCGGATTGGATTCGAGCTTGGGTAATCCCAAGTGCTCCTCCGGACAATATCGGTAACTGTGTACTAGATGGGGTGCGAACTACTTTATATTTGGACAACGTATGTAAAGGTAGGGATATCCATGCACATGACTTCTAAATAGGCGGAGCTAGTATCGATGCACCAGCCTACTCCGTAAGCAACCTAGATATATATCTAATCATGTGATATCAGTACCAGCACCCATCCTAGAATTGGTGGCTATTAGTTGATAAGAAGGACCGGGACCATGGTTGCTGTGTGAGAAAAATAGTACTTCTAGGTGCAGATGAATATATGTCTATCTACTAGATCCCCTGGGTTCATTTGAAGTATGTTCCTACCTTTCCTCGTTGGTAACACTGATAGTCATAGCAGAGTGCTTAATAGTCCTACTGTATTCCATTACTAGGGATAGGAAGTTACCAAAATTGTCAAATAATTAGAGGAAAAGCAGATATAAGGCATTCACAAATTGATGTTAGTACTGGTGAGGTGGCAATGCTTGTTCCTCGTTCAGTGGCTTTTGAAGCTATGCAGTTATGTAATCCGCTAGGCCAGAAACCCATCTATCCCGTCCTTCCGATAATGGACCACCTATCTAGTACTCCGTAGCTGGGCTGCCCCGTAATTCTCGTTGCTCTCCTCTCCGCATTCACGGCGCAATCAAGGGAATCGGTTGACGCTCACTGTGAAGTCCGGATTGCCTAACAATCCATGCTGATATCAATGCAGATAGACTCGGCTTTTAGTCATAAAGATGCCGGACGATGCGTCCTCGATTACCCCACTCAACGCTGCATCTCGATCAGTGTTTCCAACAGGTCCCAGCTTCACCCTTGAGGACTTCTCAAGTCGCGACTTCATTGTCAAGGAGTTTATCGAGGCGCTGTCGGACTCCGCCATTTCGAATCGTCGTTCTACAATCACGCCCACAACCGGAAACCAACCGTTTGACCCGAAGCCACTTATCAGGACTCTTGAGCACGCACAGCGGCGCCTCGGTGAAATCTCCGGCGACCTAGAGATCAGAGAAAATGAACTTTCTGCAGCAGTTCGGAGGGCTGAGGCACAGCATTCCCAGAATCTCAATACGCTGGGTAAGAAGCTAAAGCAGACCATAGAGTCTTTTCAGCAGCTTGACACCTCGCTCAATGGTGCCGGGCTATCAGGTGTAGAGCTTGCCGGAGGCACCGGAAATATGGCTGTCGAGACTGGAAAGAAGTTAGAGGAATTAGACCGCCAAAGACGCCGGGCGCTTGATGCCCGCTTTTTGCTCGAGTGTTGGGATGGTGTGAGCAACAGGGGCGAGCTAACGCTTCTAGAGAACCTCAGGCGTTCCGGAACTGGTGAGGCTAAGGTACGATCGGCACAGATCGCGCGGCAACTGCTTCGAATAAGTCAGAGACTCGATACCGAGAGCTGGAACGATTCGAGTGGAAGGACCGCTGGGCTCACCGGAAACGGAGCCATATCTGCAGACGACAACATAAATGGAAATGGGAATGGGACTAGACGGAACACTCGTGAGATCATTGAGAAGTTTTCTGAAACTTTGGAGAATGATTTGTTAAAGCAATTTGACGACTTCTACCGCAAGGCAAATTTTGAAGGCATGAAGGACTGCGCAACTGTACTTCAGGATTTCAACGGTGGTGCAAGCGTCATTGCTTTATTCGTCAACCAGCACCAATTCTTCATCGATCGAAGCCAGCTAGTTACAGAAGAAGTAGGAGGCGATCTAGAGACGTGGGAGATGCTCGCAGACCCCGATGCTGAACCTCTGAAAGTGGAACCTAGCCTTCAGTCTTTGATCGATGAAGTCAAGGTCGTAGTGCAAGAGGAATCAGCCATTATCCGGCGAGCCTTCCCGTACTATGAGCAGGTCCTCGGGAAGTTTTTGCAACGCGTGTTTCAGCAGTCTATTCAGCAAAGATTAGAAATGGTCTTGGAAAAAGCAAACAGCGTTTCATCACTAGCATTTCTACGATCCTTACAGAGCTCTCGAAGTTACATCAGTGCCCTTGTTGATGATCTGAAAAGCCATGGGCTGACTGAACACCCGGATCCAATCTCTTCACAAACGGCTTTGGTCCTTGACCAGCAACTAGAAGACTTGTTCGTACCTTATTTCGTTGGGTCGTCATATATAGAGAGGGAGAAGAGGACACTGGAAGAACTTTATACGTCCTTGCTTTTCAAGTTCACTACTTTTCATGCACGCAGAAAAAAGGCGGCAACAACTTTCATGGCATCCCTTTCCAAATCCGGTACTGAAATGCTTTCTTCGGCTCGTGACGCATATTTGAGTCGCCTGGAGTCTTCGGAATTTCCTCCAACCCAGAGAAGATTGCTACTCCAAGTGGCAGGATTGAGAGAGTCTAGCGACCTCTCAAAACCTACTGATATCAAACTGACCGAAGAAGACGGCATCCCAAGCATATCTTCTGCGAAGCGGATGCTTAAGTGGCTTGCCGAAGCAGTTGGCAGAGGCTTGGAGCTTAGCGTTAATAGTGAAACACCCAAGGATATGCTTGCACTATTGACTCTCCTTCTTTCAGCAATGGGAGAAGGGTTCATTGAAGTGTCTCTAGATGCCGCACTGGAAGCAGCAACATCACAAGAGTCTGGGAGAGCAGAGCCAGATTTTGCATATTTGCCAGCCATTCGAAATGCTATTGGTATTGCAAACTTGATGGTTATGTGCATAAATACTTTACTCATCCCTCTTGCGGCGGGTAGTATTACAATCCGGCGGGAGATGGAGAAGAAAACAAGCCTCATCACTATGCGCATAGAAGAGAAGATCAACATACTTGAGCAGAAGGTCATTGACAACACACTAACATGGGCTGGCAAACTCCTGTCTGGCCAAAAGAAGAACGATTTCCGACCCAAGGAGGGGGATAGTACGGCTTGGTTGGAAAAGCTACAAACACCTGTAAGCCATGAGGTCTACTTAACCCCTGGAAGGCCATGCTAATCTATCTTAGACCTGTGCTGCAATCTGTACATTCTTGACTCGTGTGCATAACGTGGTGAAGACATCCTTACCACCCAGTGGCTCCAATATTCGCCAGCTGCTGACAGAAATTGCCATTGGAACGCGCACTCTCCTGCTGGATCATTTCAAACGGTTCGTTGTCAATGGGCCTGGCGGGCTTATGGTTACCAAGGATATGACGCAATATACGGACCTTCTCAAGTCCTGGGACATTGAGGAACAGGTCAAAGGACCGAGCGGTACGCTGGACGTACTGCTGGAAGTGGGCAACCTCTTTGTTATCGGCTCTGAAGCTTTACGCGAAAGAATTCGTGGTGGTACTGGAAGTGGTACGGGTGGAAGCGCTGGAAATAATATTGGAAATAGCCCTGGGCGAAGCCTCGGGGGTTCTGGCCAGACGGAAACAGGCCTTAGCGTACAGGAGGTCAGGGCATATGTTTCCCGCAGAGAAGATTCCAATACAGCTGCGCTGCAGAGTGTTCTTAATATTCTGTGATAGGGAACAATGTGGACACAGCCAATGACTATGGATAATGAAGACTTGACCGTGTTAGACTCCGTACGGAGTATATCTCCAACCAAGGCTAATAATCTATGTAGTGTACCAATATTCTTTCCTTTCTTTCTCCGTCTCCTGTTGTTCCCCCAGCCCCTCTCTTTCTTTTCCGGCCTAAAAGGGAATTGAAAAGGGGGACGGGCATGCCCGGCGACTTACCCCTTTACTAGCCCGAAAGCTAGCCAGCTAGTGGCAGGATTGACAATCTACTTTAGTTGATGAACTAAATAATGCGATGAAGGAGGAGATAACTTATTTAGTAGAATAAATGGCGTCAAGCCTTTTATTCTCCAACCTATTGATCTTGTCCTTGTACAGCAATTAATTGATTCCCCCCCCGCCGGATAGACTCTTCGTGATAATTCCAGAAGCCTAAGCTTTGCTTCTCCGTAATCAGAGTTAAGTACAGATTCCTCCGGTATACATACACTACTTTTCCCATGAGCCCCACTTGGCGATTAGCAAAAGGTAGTCCATGTACCCGAAGTTACCCTGTAGATGGTGTTGCACATTACCAGGGTAAACCCGTTGAGCTGCTAAGGGATTCCTACTATTTTCGGCGCTATTCCGATACTATTGGAGACAATTTATACTGCCATCCTTGATAGTTAATTCAGTACTTCTACGGAGTAACAAGGCCCATCCGGTAGTACTCTTCCTTCGAAGTCCAGTAACCGTAGCACCGCCTTTTTCGCATTATTTCCTCTACAGAGAACCTGCTGTGTAAACTTGAACGTCTTTCCATTCCAGAAGATTCAGCTTACTTATATCAAATGCAACCCCTCGCTTGAGCTGAGGCGTGATGATGTTCGCGACCAGAAGCTTGACAAAGCGGCGGGCTTAGTGTAGGCTCATATGTAATAGTGTCTGCATTCTTTTGTTGTTGTTTTTCTATTTTCTATTTTCTTTTTATGGTTTATTCTTATTTCCGCTGCACGGTATAGGTCGCAATGACTCGAGGATACCCTCACTATTGACTTTAGCTTTCAGGGGCTTACCCTCTTTAGTTCGCTTGATAGATGCATTCAAGCCTAACCAACACTAGTTGCCCATAGAGGCTAGATTATAACTCTAAAGGAAACTCGGAGCACATGTGTACATGCATTCAATCCCATAGAGGTTCACGTGGGAGATGACACTCTTTCCAATCCGCCTCCTGTATCATAAAGCCTATCTTGTCGACATTCGGCCATTTCAGACGCCAAAGATCAGTCAGTCTCATATGATAAAGAAGCTGCAACATCCCCTTTGGAGTACAGTATTTATCTTTCACCGTTCCGTCTACGAGTAGTTCCACGCCGACATGGATAAACTCCCTGGTGATGTCTTGCGGTGGTTTGGTGAGGAGCATGACCTTGATCTTGCCCTCGACAAGGATCCCACCTACTCCGTCAACTCACCAATGAAGACGCCATACCGAAAACCGAAGAGACCTTGCATCAGAAGGACATTGTCTTTGAATTCTGCCACTCTTATACGACAACCATCGTTTGCTGCTTTGCACAAGAACCACCGACATTCTAGCCAGTCTCCCGTCACGTCGTCCTTCTTAACCAACCTTCTTACTCGGGAATCCAAATCCCGTCCTCTATCGAGCCAAGCGCAAGGAAATCAAGACCTCCCATCATCTTTCTGCAGCATTGATCCGGGTGCTCAACATTACCAGGATCCAGAAGCGCGCCTCAGACTACGACTCTACCTAGCATCCCCGCATAATTTCGACGAAGCCATCGAGTTCGGCTTTCCGACCCCTGCGGATGAGGGCACGACATCAGGGCTGCCCGGTGTGCTAAAGCAGAGCCCAAAGCCCCAGAGTAGTAGGAGAAAGGTATACCCAGCTGTGGCTAAGAATGCAAGCCTTTGCACAGAGACCAATGTTACCATATCAGACGCCGTACAGCCGCCTCGGCTCTTGGAGCATCCCATCTCAGACAAGCATATCTCACCGAGTGATGCGCAAAAATCTTGTTCAGCCGATAAGGGCATTGGCAAGCGGCTTGATCCGAACAATCGCGAAATGACACTGAAGATGACATTGACACGACCTGATCTTCGAACAAGCTCTTGGGAGGCCGATTCGCCGGTTACTCCGGTGTCTACCGAGTCATCTTCAGCACAAGGAGACCCACAATCTCGCAATGCTGATGAAAATATACGACACAAAATGAAAAATGTATGGTGCAAGCTTAGGGTATGGAAATAGGGCTGAATCAGCAGATGAAATGTATGTTATGAATGAGTATGCCATATCGTTACCCTTTCAATGGCTCATTTGTTGTAGACTTCCCTTTTCAATGTGCTCTATAATATGTTTTGTTTCATCCAGTTTGCTTGGTGAGCTACTGCTGCCTCCTTTCGCGAGTACCATTAGCATTGGCGTATGGCTATCCTTTCATATATATAGACTTAAGGCTTTAAAACATTGTTTGCTACGGCCCTTACACGGGTTACTATGATGCAAGGTACTGCTCGCCTATATCAACAAGCATAGTTTAAGATACTATTACTGTTGTGCCTGGCCGCCAATCTCTTCTCCACATTGGTT